CTTATCTCTAACGTTGAAGCCTAAAGGCTGTGCCTGGACTTTCTTCTCTATCAGCAGACTCTTCCTAGGTGACCACATCCCGTGGCTTCTCATCGCATCTCCAGCCAACCCAAGGCCCTGAACTTTGACTTATATCCAACCCCTCTTCAGTCATATTGACATGTAAGGGGTGAAAAGCCAACACAAATGTCATCAGTGGCAGTGCTACTGTTTCAGTAGCCCAATCTACCCAGTTGCTCAAGCTAAAAATCTACAAGTTACCCTTTCAAATTGAATCAGTCAACACGATGATTACTGTCATCTCTAAACATATTCTGAATCTGTCTACTTCTATCTAGTTCCACCCCATCGCAAGCTGCTCCCATTGCTTACCTTTGTCCCATCTTAGACCCATTAGCTCTCTCATTGCTGACCCATTAATTGGAGAAGTTTGAAACCTAAACATTTCCCAGACACCCTTACAGAGTTCTGCGTTGGAATTAGACGCTGTCAATTAAACGCACCAGCACAAAGTTGTCAAAAGCAGCAAGGCACAGGCAGTCTCCTGCTGCTCTTGCTATTGGTAACCAAGGTCACAGAGATGCAAGTGTTTGGAGAAGTTGCAACCACCCAGCCTGGTATTTCAGTATCTGGCTAGCTCCGTGGGTGTGACAGCAGTGGCAATCGACAGTGGCAGGCTTCCCGAACCCCTAAGCACCGCAGGGGAGCCTCAAACTCCACAGTCCACTCTCTGGTAGTTCCCCTGAATACTCCTCCAATTCTTCTACTGATCTGTAAACCTCTTCCTCCTTGTGATTTCTGCCTGCAGCACTCAACCCTGACTCACTCTTACTCACCTCAGTCTACTCTCCACCCAACTGAGAATTCTCTAGATATGTAAATCACTCATGTCACCTTCTGCTCAAAATCTCTCAATGGCTCCAAACCACTTAGAATTCACACTTAAAAAAAAAAAGTTTCGTTCTGTCACCTAGTATAGAGTGCTATGCCATCTGCCCAGCTCAAAGCAACCTCAAACTCCTGGGTTCAAGTGATCCTCCTGCCTCAGCCTCCCAAGCACCTGGGACTACAGGCACCTGCCACAATGCTTGGCTAATTTTTTCTGTGTTTAGTAGAGATGCAGTCTCACTCTTACTCAGGCTGGTCTTGAACTCCTGAGTTCAGGTGATCCCACCTCAGCCTCAGCCTCCCAAAAAGCTAGGACTACAGGTGTGAGCCACTACATCTAGCCACAGTTCAGTCTTTACTAGGGCCCCACGTCCTAATGATCCGGCTTCTGCCCACTTCTCTGATGCCACCCGGCCACTGGCCTTTCACTTCTGAATAGGCGAAGATTTGCTGCACTGTTCCACCTGCATGGAATGTTCCTCCTCTTCGTTTCCTCCATGTCCAGCCCTGCATGTCATTCAGTCCCTTCCGATCAGCCTCTGTAGAGTCACTCTACCCTATTTTCTCTGGACAGCAAATGCAGCATCTATTTTTTTCTGTTATAATTCACCACTGCCGCTCTCTTTTCCAAGAATGTATGTACCACAGGAGTGGGGAGGACCTCTGTACCCTCAGAGCAGATCTGGGGCACACTGTAGACGCTCAATGTGTAAGAATAAATTTGGGGTGAATTTTACTTCTGTTACTCCAAGTGAGTTAGTAAAAACTACAAATTATTCCTAAATATTAGGTAGAGGATAATATGATTTTGCCATCTGGGAACAGATAGTAGATAACGAATTGTTTTGGCACATACAGGCTGTCCATGAAGTTCACGTGCCATTTACTATGTTAAACTATTTTAAATTGCACACGATCTTCATGTCCACCCTGTATTATATTCAACCTTGTACTCTGATGGGAATAAAAAAATCTGGGGCTTGGCGCCCATAGCTCAGTGGTTAGGGAGCTGGCCACATACATGGGGGCTGGTGGGTTCGAACCCGGCCCAGGCCTGCTAAACAATGACAACAGCAAAAACAAAATAGCCAGGAGTTGTGGCAGATGCCTGTAGTCCCAGCTACCTGGGAGGCTAAGACCAGAGAATCACTTAAGCCCAAGACCTTGAGGTTGCTGTGAGCTGTGACACCACCTCACTCTACTGAGGATGACATAGTGAGACTGTGTCTCAAAAAAAAAAAAAAAATCTGAAGGCAAGCCCCACTCTCTCTGGAAAAAGTGGCCATCCAAAGATCACTGTTTTCTCTTTTTTTAATGTAACTTAGAGGGAAAGGGGAGAAGAGAAAATATTACTGAGTGAATTTCATTCAGAATTACTGCCATTTTTTCCAAACTACTCTGACACTTGAAATAAGAGGATAAGAAATGTAAGGACAAATAACTATCTACCTTTTGCTCTCTTAATGCTACCTCTAGTTCCATTTGCTGTCTGGTGGACTCACCCTGCATAAGGTCTCTGGAGCAACAGCACCATCTGCTGGCCAAAGGCTGCTGTGCCTATGTCCTGGCAATAGGCCAGGGCTTTCCACATTTCCTTGGGCAATGCTAAACCTGACTTAGGCTTAGCCACAAGGATATTTTCCAAAATACCAAACAGGAATCCCTGCTGCTCCAGGAAGGTTGATAAAATTAGAGAATCCTTTGCCTGAGGCTTCTCCTCTAAAAAACCAAGTTGGGTTTTGACCCCAAATCGGAAATCAGTGCCATTTACGGGAAAGAGAATGACTGAGGTAGAAGACCTAGATCAAGAAGCAGGAATAAAAAGCCTTACCTAACTTTGAGAGGCCTCCATCCCCTGTATTCTTTCTCTGTTAAGACAAGAGGCTGAGGAAAATCGGTGCTTTGAAGTTCTTTCTGGTTTTCTTCCTCCTGCTCCTTCCACCTGGATTCATCTCCTACCTCAACATACACTTTTGTCCATTTTTTATGGGTAACACATAGTAACTATGTATTTCTGGGGTACAGTGTGATGTTCAGTATATTGTGTATCACTACCCACTTTCGTAGGTCTTTTTCCTCCCTCTTAACCAATCTACTTTACCTTTCAAGCTCTTCCTGAGACCCTTCTCCATCAGGTTCAACTGTCTCAGGACCTAAGAAATATTCCATTCACCTTGTTTTTCCTTTCCTTTTGTATCCCACTTTCACAAACTGGGTCTGATATTTCAACTTTCTCTTAATTCCTCTATCTATTTTCTGTCCTCACAACTCAGCATAAACTAGAGTTTTCCTGATACCCTTTCCATCATGGACAGTAAGTCTACCTCAATTCTCTGTTGGCTACAAACCAAGGACTTCCTTTTCCTTAAATTCCTTTGCACCCTAGATCCTAGTAATTTTCTCTTGTTTCTTCCTTACTTTTCTAATTATACTCCTTTACTATCATTGAGAAACCCCTTTATGCCATCTGCCCATGGGAGCTTTTCAAAATAATGTATAAAGTTCATCTTTTTACTACCATTTGTGGGTTTACTACCATCATTTACAAATGACTCCCATTTCTAAGAGTTACTTACACTCACTTCCTTTTTTTACTCATATATTTTCATAGTCATTAGATTTCTTAATTGGCTACTAGAAAATCAAAATGACAATATAAAATTCATTGTCCTTAGTCAAAGCATTTCTCAAACTAGTCCTCCAGGATTCATTAGTTTTTTTCCTTGATTAATTAGGAGAATAATAGCCTCTTCCAAGCATTACCTTATACAAGGGATATTCAGAAAGCATCCAGCCAGTAATAGGGAAAATAGAGGCACACATCCCTGGATACTTTCCAGACAGCCCTTATAAGATTCAAATATAAGATTCTCAAAATATCCAAGAAATCCCACTTGTGTTCTGAATGCTTACTATCCAAATGAAACAGTAACCTTATGTGAAAACGTAACTCAGTCTCCCATGGCACTCTATTAAAGCACAGACACTACACACACAATTAAGGCAAAAACTATAATTTTTTTTCCATCTCAGTTCCTCTTTGCTATGGCAGCATGTGGGATAGTTCAAGAACCTATATAAAACTGAGTGAAGAAGAAAATACTTTTATTAATCACGACATGAAATTGACATGACCACCTCATTAGAACTCAACCAGGATAAATAGTGCTGCTATAAAATTTACATTTCTCACATCCATTTCACAGGAAAATATTACATATTGGGGCTTTTCTTGATCTTACAGACTGATTTCAGTAATACCTTTTATTAATAGTAAATAGCACTTACCACATATTCTCTAAGTGTGCTAAGGAGGAGCTAGAAAGGCAACTAACTATAAGATCTATAAAGATCACAACTGGCAGAATTAGGACTGTTTTGTTAAACACTGAGAACGCATCTCTATTTTTGCCAGTTACATAGGCGCACCTTTTTCACTAGTAAGGCACCTGCTTGCTGTGGGTGCCACAATAATTAGCAAGTTTCTTCTTAAGTGACAGATACTTGATTGATCAAGACTTGAAGTTTCTTTACCGATTTTGCTCTCTTTTGGTGCAGAAATACTTTTTGTCTTCTATATACAGGGAGATAAGTAAGAAAGGCAGCGTCTGTAATTTCCAACTCACAAATGAACAGGAGCAAGGCAATGAATTACTATTAGAAATAAGTCTTGGAAATAATTTCAGTTTTTAAAACAAGGCTTCTGAATAATTTCTCAAAACTAGCTTTCCATTTTGGTATACAACTTGATACAATTAACACATTAGATCTGTATGTTAGAATTTCTTCTATCAACCGCACTGTGCCTGCGTAAAAGTTAGCAAAGGTGTCCAACCTGTGACCCAGGGGCTCTGTGCGCATTATCTGAGGCCTGTTTTGCTTATCTGTGGTGTCAGCTATCCCAAAAGTGATACACAGGCCTTTTTTATGCTCATCGGCTTTTGCCAAGTGTTTGTGTATTTACTGTGGGGCCCAAGACAGTTCTTCTTCCAAAGTACAGCAGGAAAAAAAAGGTTGGACACCCCTGGGTTAGAGTATTGTTTCAAACAATTTCTACATATAGAGCAGTGGTTCTCAACCTTCCTAATACTGTGACCCTTTAATACAGTTCCTCATGTTCTGGTGACCCCCCCAACCATAAAATTATTTTTGTTGCTATTTCATCACTGTAATTTAGCTATTGTTATAAATCGTAATGTAAATATTTGATATGCAGGACGTATTTTCCTTGGTCATGACCCACAGGTTGAGAACCGCTGATATAGAGCATCTTTAAGTAAGTTTCCTTTCCACTGAACTGAGACTTTTTTCTCACTTAACGTGCCCGTGGAAGTTAATGTGAGCATACACATACATATACTTGCACACTCATGTGTGTATATATGTGTATTTTTAAAGTTACTTTTACCATTAGAATAAAACTAGACACTACAGGGACAACTCTGTGAGGCAGCGTGGCCTTCCTTAGAAAGGCTCCTCTAGGTTGAGGAAGGCAGGTAGAGTTCGCTGAAGGACGTGATGAGGCTGTAGTAAGTCTTCTCGTCATCCGTTAATCCCGCATTGCCGGGTCTCACCACCACAGCCACGTGCACATCTGCCTCCTCCGCAGCGCTGGCCTCTGTGAAAAGCAGAGTATGTGTCAGAAACACCAAACGATGATGTCTGAGATTTGCTTCAAAGCTACCAGGACGTGGGAATGGAAGAAATGAATCTGGCCCCGATCTGATCACTGTTGAAGCTACGAAACAGGCACACATATTATTCTCGCTTTCATCTATGTTTTACTGCTTCCAGAGCAGATTTTTTAAAAAATACCTAAATGTATATGACACAACAGAAAGGGAGCTTTATGAAGTAAATATGAATGCCAAAGGGCGGGGCCATGTTCTGTCACACAGTCTTCCTCCGTTCCTTCCCAGAACAGAGCAGTTTCCCAAAGGCAGTCTGCAGATGGTTAACACCAAGTAAGCAGAGACAGGGAAAAAAGAATCCTGTGATTTATTTATTTATTTATTTGAGACAGAGCCCCTGGGTAG